GCATTTCATATAAAAACTGAGCAACACGCACGTTACATTTCTAAAAAAAATCCTGGAATTTTGTCAACTCCAGTGTATAAATCTGTAAATTTGGATGTACCCGTTTTTCGATAAGCCTCCCTTAATTGCCCGAAACTTTAAAAATATACCAATACTGCGTGTTATCAGAGTAAAGCTGTATCATAGTGTATATATCTTGCTAAATAAAACATTTTCAATATTAAGTATCAAGTTTTCGTAATTTTTAAAAGAAATTAAATTCACATTTAGATTTTGTAATGTTAGAATTGCTGCATTGTATCAGAGTACTGATTCTAGTGGAAATAATGACATGCTGTACACTGTAATCACAAATATTTTGTTCATTATTTTAAAATTCAACTACATTTATTCCTTTACACATTGAAGTATATGTTTTCTTTTTCAAATAAAGAATACACGTCCACTCAGAATACAGGATTTTGATAATGAATGTCAGGACATACCAAAGATTAATGCCTTCTGTAATGTATATACACAATAATCACAGGCCAAACGTTATCATAAGTTCCACTGAATATTAATCTATTAAGCAGTTTTACTCATCACATCGACTTGATAATGCATACGTTAAACTTTGAAAGGCAACATGATGAGAACTTATGTTGTTTAGTCAAATTTTATTTCAGCTGCAGAATCAACAAGCAATTTCTAATCTGCATCTATCCGTTTCAATGCTTACAAAATGTTGAAAGTGATTTTTAAACATTCCTGGATGATCAAAATTATGTTGTGCACTTGACTTACAGGTGTGATTGTGGATATTGCCAAATGATGAACTCAGCAATTCAGTGCTGATCTCGTGAAAAGGTGGAGGTAATCGAGAAAATGAAGGGTGACCTGACATGCATAACCTTCCATGAGAGTTTCATTGCAAACTGCTGAAAAAGACATCTACTGGAAGTATACATGGAACATCATGGACCTTTGGATTATAATGAGCCAATACACAAGTAATTTTTCTGTTCATATACAAATTTCTTCAAAATTCATGTTGTTATATTTGATCAGTTTTTCCTACACCTGTGACAATGATTGGGACACATTTTTAGACACATTTTACAAAACAAACTATACACAATAGTTTCTTACGTCAAGGTGTTTTTAGCTTGCAACTCATGGAGGCAACATTTGTGCAGAGGGATGTCTTCAAACACACAATGTATAGGATATAAATAGAACAATTTTATATTGATATTGGTCATTTCATATGTAAGATATCTTGTATCAAATCTATATGTATTCAATGAAGATTAACAATTTTATAAAAATGAACATATCAAAAGTAATTCACCATAAGTACTAAAAGTACAATTTAGCACGAGTTACCAATGAATAAGTAACTCTTGTATGGTTTTACTCTTACATGCATTTTTTATTTATTTTCAGAAAATACAGACGTATAGGACCGCTTCGGTGGCCTAGTGGTTAGAACGTCCGCCTCGGATGCGGGAGGTCGTGGGTTCGATCCTCGGTCGAGTCATACCAAAGACTTACAAAAATGGTACTAACAGCTGCCTCGCTTGACGCTCAGCATTAAGAGGCCAGTGTTAGTACTGGTCAGCCTTGTGTCAGGATAATGTGATTGGGTGTGCTACGTGTCTGCGGCATGATGCCCCAGTGCTAGACATAAATTTAAACTGCCACACTGCAGACATCTTAGCGATATGACTGAAAAATTGTTAGAGCTAAGTTAAAAATCATAATCACATCACATCACAGACAAATATCATATTGGAGGTTTGTCACATGGATTTGACATTGTATAGGAAGACACAGCCGTAAAGTTCTTCCATCTTGTGTGGTTTAAAAAAATCATAGAACCATTTCCCTCAGAGGAATATGTTGGCTTCAGATATGCCACACCATAAAAATTCTTGGATTTCAAAAAGCGTGATTTGTCTTTTTTGACGATTTCATATCTTGAAAACTGTTTATATATTGCTGTGCTTGGTGGTGGATATTGAGATGTACATGTATGCTTCTGTGGATGTAAGCAAGTCCTGCTTCACGTCCAGCATCACCTGCTTTCAAGAGTGCATCATAACCTTAAAGAATAAAAATGTACCAAGATATGAAGTCAATAAACTGTTTAGATTTGGAACTATTACACTATTCAAAATGATAAAGTAACCTGTGTCATGAACTTTAATAAAATTTATCCCATGAGCTATAAATGCATTTTTTTATTTAGAGATTTCTTTATTTCTTCTAATTAGTTGCAATGCCGGAGTACCCATTATGCACACTAAGCACATGCTTTGGGCACCAGCCCAACATGGGCAACAGAAAATAAATTCAAATTAAGTGTTGATGATGAAATTAATGAATTGTATATGACTTTTTCGATCTGCTTGTACGAGTATTTTGAAATTTTTTGTTTGTTTCAGCTTTCAATAGTGCTTTTTCAAAATTTCTCATTTTGTTTGTGGGGTGGGTTGTACTATAATATTTTCAGTGCCTAGGGCCCTAGAAGGCCTTACTCCACCACAGATTCCTTGTATAAACTGGACATTACATTTATACATCAAAACTAGCTATTGTCAATTAACAAATGACGTCAATTATAACCGATAAATTGTGACAGCAGCTTATGCACAATGACTTTGGTGTAGGAAAGAAGCATAAAACACATAACAGACATGTCACCAGCATATTTAGTTAAACTCTTACCAAAGGTTGGCTCTGCTTTGCAGGGCTTTACAACAGCCTGCGTCCCTTTCTTGTTGTTTGGATAAACAAATCTCCACTTCTCCTGGCCAGTTATGGTCACTGCATATCCATGGTTTGAAATTTCATTATAGTGCAGGGTAGCTAGATGCAACCTGAAGTAATAAAGTTGTATTTATAAAAAGCACCATTCAGAATAAAATGGTGAGTAATTCTTGCTACTTACAGATGAGTAATTCTTGCTACTTACAGAGCTGGTTTTACAATTAAGATAGGCAGGTAGAGTTTTTTTTTCAATTAATTTTTAATATATATATATATATATATATATATATATATATATATATATATATATATATATATATATATATATATATATATATATATAATGATTAATATCGAATATATTAAGCATTTCTAAGTGATGGGCAAAACTGGTTCAATTTCATGCAATAATCAATTCCTACAACAGTTGTTTTTATAACTATGTGAAAAACAAGTGCTAAGACTAGCTGACCAGCAACACGTTCTCATTTTTGTCTAGTCTAATTGCATACTAGTTACCTTGCAAACATGGATCCATAAAGAAGTGTGTACTCTTGAGTGCATAGTGATTCACAACATTGTGGAACACTTCAAAGCCATAAGTTTGATGTATATGTATGCTTCTGGATGTTTCTGAGTATGTGAGGACTGCGAGAGACTTTATCCATAGGTTTGTATGCCCTGGAGCCTAACCAAGAAAAAATGATTGTTTTGTGTTAAATAAGGTGAACATGTTTGGTTAAATCAAAGGCATATTGCGATTTAAGCTCTTAAGAATAAGCCAACAATATAAATAGCACTGGGTTTCCCAACCAATTATGGCCAAATCTCATTCTCCATTTGGTTATACCGCATGTGTGCACACACGGCTATTATCAGTAACCGGATATTGAAATATAGCAATGTGAGCATATATAAACTTTTCTATACATATCCTCCTAGTTATAAACATACCATCCTTCAACCACTGTCTTTCTTCCCAAGTGGGACCATCTTCACATTTGCAGGAGAAGGTAGACTGGTCCACATGCTTGTTTTTTGCAATATGGTTCATTAGTGATTCCCATTTGCCAACTTTAACCTTACCATTGTCCTCACAAGAAGTTGCAACTTAGTAAAACAACTACCCTCTCCCCTCAATCCCAAGTATTAATGACAAAAAAGAGCATTTATAGTATCTACAGTGTATTTTTGAAACATTTGAGTAAGTCAAATGGCAACAACTGATACATTACATTTATGAACGCACACAATGTGAAAAGGAAATGGGGTGTGACGCAAAGAAGTTTATATCATGTCATAGCAAAAAAGACTCATATTTCTCAGGCGATGGTGAAATATACTTCAAATTATGCATTCCTCTCTATTTTAAATGCATAATACTATTACTCTGTTATCATCATAAACAACTCTTTCCGAGATATATATGTTCCAGGAATATATAATGTACACAACAATTCCGCAGCACATCCGGTGGGGCTGTGATGATAAGTACACTATGGACCCTACATTAATGGAAATTAGAGTATATACAACATACTTCTTTACCTCTACATTCCACTGCTTGTTATAGGCTGCTCTTACTCGCTGTGGTTTGACAATTGTGGTGCTATTGGCACTCAGATCTGCCAGTAGATCAACCCAAACCCCCGGTCCAGGGATAGAAGAGTGTCTTGTACTTCTGTCAGCTTCATTCTTGCATATAAATATCGCAATTCTGCACATCCATTGGGATCAACATTATACTGATCTTTTGAAAAATGCAAGTTGCAAAGTCATTGAGTTACCGACTCAAAGTTCTCACGGCGATAGTAATGGATCTAAGCTTCTCGTCGGATTTTGTCTTTCGGAAATCGGAAAAAATTGCCAGTCGAATTATTGTCGCATCCAAATGCTACGCTGTGGGATATTTCGGAAATTTTTGGAAAACAAATGCGATAACAAGCACTAAAAAGCTGCCTCCTCTCAAGCACAGGTCAACAGCTGCAAATGATCATGTGACGTCACGTGATTTCAGCCTCGTTTCCAATCGACAAATATGCATATCGGAACACTCAAGCAATTCATTCCCTATAATGTAGTGTAAATCGTTTTCGGTGTAACTAGGTCGCCCCAAACTATTATTTATTTTATCTTGGGCAACAAAAGAATAATATAACTGCAACTTTAATTGTATGTTCCCTATTCTTTTAATGCTGAGCGTCAAGTGAGGCAGTTGCTAATACCATTTTTGTAAGTCTTTGGTATGATTCGACCGGGGATAGAACCCACGACTTCCCGCATCAGAGGCGGGCGCGCTAACCACTAGGCCACAGGAGGGGTTAGAGATCACACTGAGAAACGTAAAAATCTAGAACACCTTGATGGCGGTCATTGATTTTCAGTATGATACGAAATTGATGAAAGGTTGTTATTTCAATTATTTGCAAGTAAGGCGTATTTATCCCTTGCTTGTAAATCAAAACAAAGAAAACTTTGGTAAAAGGCAGAGACCGAAAAATAAACCAGTGAGGTAAGACAAAACTGAAAATCTTGATATGGGATGGATTAATAATTTTAAAAAAATAATAGAAGTATTATATATTTCTTAGATACCATATAAATTTAAAATAACAATTTTGATATGAAAACAAAATATGACGCATTGTCAATCTCGTGCCCCCCTCCCCAACTTTAACCAATCAGATTTATTGATTTACAACTTTATTCAATCAGATTTAGTGATTTACAAGTACGGTGGCTTATGTGATAGATAAATAGTTGATATATATGAACACTGCATATATTCTTTAACAAAATTGAGCTAGCCTCTCGTGGGTCGGTGGTTCTTCCCGGAGTTTTCTAGGGTTCTTCCTCCACCACTAATACTGGCCGCCATATATAGCCTATATTGTGCTGAAAAATGTCGTTAAACCCTACAACAACAACAACAACAACAACAACAACAACAACAACAAAATTGAGCATAGTTCAACACTTTAAGGAGGTTAGCTTTAGATTTAATCTATTTCTCATCTTTATTTCAGTAGGCCTACTTTATAACTTCAGTATCTTATCACTTAACACACATAGTACCCATGTTACATGAAACCGTAATGTGTATTAGTCCCCAGACACTGGAATGTATGGATCAAAACAAATGTTACATTACACAGTACATTCAATCATGCAATATCAATAATGTACTATGGACATCCGAGGTATACGTCACTTGTAGATTCTCAGTTTTATTTCTAATAAAGAATACAGCCAAAGATGACGTTTGCATGTGAAGGGACTATAAGAAAGACAAAGACAAACGCGTCAACGCGAATCAAATTCAATCACTGAACAGTAAAGATGTATGCAAGACCTCCTTTGTAACATCAGTTCGAGATAGTTCGTATTGTATCTTTCCAAGAAATGACCCGTACCAGCATAAACCAACCAATTTTTCTTGTTCAGGGTCGGCATCACTTGCTCCATATCAAGTGCTGTACTTATTATTATTATTATTATTATTATTATTATTATTATTATTATTATTATTATTATTATCGTCGTCGTCATCATCATCAGCATCGTCGTTGTCGTCTTTGCCTTTATTTAACGTGGAGTATATTTTTCAGTTATTATGGTCACGCGCAGATTCAACATGCTTGTAACGTGGGCACTTTACTCATTGGTAATAAAATCAATTCGTAGGTAAGTGACAAACTTTCGACCCACTGTTTACAATTCTAACGCTCTACAAGCAGAACTGTTCAGTTTGGGCACCATAACAAGTAAGTTCTGGAAAGTTGTACAAGAAGGGAATTTTTTTTTAAAAAAATCTTACCTTTAGTAATCTGCATTATCTTATTGTTGTTGTTGTTGTTGTTTGCAATAATATTAATTTCAACAATTAAAAAATATTGGTGCAATGAAATTGACTGGAAAGGAAAAGAGAAATTCATAACTTTATAAAGAAACATCTATCGTCACACCTTTATTAACCACTACAAATTTATTATCATTTGTTTAAATCAACGTTTTCTGACATAACAATGTTCAATTGATTAGTTGTACCTAGCAATTTACAACATATATTTTACAAATGAAATAAGCAATAACAACTTGTAGTCTTAAATTTCATTTAGCATTTAGCATTGTATTTCAACCAAATGCCTTAGTCACTCGATGCAAAAATCCATAATAATAAATGAAATCAAGAGACTGCGTATGCAGTTTAGAAATGATGGTTTGTATATACTTCTTTCAAATCAAATTTATTATGCGATTGTTGTCATGCATTTACAAAATTATTGAAAGCTAAGTCATATGAGTCATATATCACTTTTGTATGTTATCAGTACGACCTACAATCAAACATCTCGCTTGTCAAACTTGATAAGTTCCGGTGTTTAACAAAACCGATCACTTCCGTCAGTCATGATGACTGGATTGCGGTCGAAAACTGTAGAACTTGGCAACATGCAAAACTACAACTCCTATACAAGAATTGATAACGGAATAGTTCCAGTAAGAAGGACCAATTTTATGTTGTGCACAAACGTATCTTAATACATTTATACTTAGGTTCAATTACAATCAAAATATGTAACATACTGACTTTATAAACTTCATAAAGTAATACGGCTAGGCGTTTAGAGCCAATTTGTCCTCCAAGCTAAGCTGGTCGTCGTATAGTTAATATTGAAAGGATTTGATAGTAAATCGGCAGATTGCAGAGGCGCTTATTTAGTGGACGATGGTGAAGGATTCGCTTGTATGATGCAGATCTTTTATAGGACTCACGGTACTAATTCAACTCCCACAGTAAACATATAGAAACACCATCAAAATTCAATAACGTAAAATTTCTGGGTACTGATGATCTGATCTAAATTTCTAAAAGCACAACTATCGTTGGTGCAAACGTCTGTGTGGAGAACACTATATGAGTCAGGGCATTGTTTTATTACATGCGCATAAAACACATGTTAATTTTTTATTCTGCACCAAATGAATCAATTCTACTTTCTTTATTGAGTACTCCTAAGTCAAGTCTGTAAGAATACTAAAATTGCATCAATAGAATTTTGTCTATATATTTTTTTAAATTACAGATAGGCTAAGTTCTCAAAAGATATTTTTACAAAAACTTTACTTTTCATTATCAACCAATTATAGACCACCAAACCTGTATATATTCTATTATTTCTTGGACTGGTTCACTGTTGTTCCATATAATTTATTACCGTGTGCCCTAAAGATCCAGCTAAATTTAAGTGCTACGTAAGTTTTACCAAAGTCATCGATTGTCAATCAATCATCAGCATGTCTATCAGTCATTAGCTTGTCAATCAATCATCAGTTTGTCAGTCGGTCATCAGATTGTCAATCAGCCATCAGAAACTTGAAATTGTTCTTTGGATGCATTATTTCCTTGTTAATTCCCTGAATTGCGGATCAGCTGGGTACTAAAGCGTCAAGAATGTCATCTCAGCTGAAACTTAATGGTCCCTTCTCACGATATAAGGTCATCAATAATCTCCGAAGGACATCATCCGTTTTTGTAAATTCATTAAATGGCCTCGATGAATTAAGAAAAGGCCTGATACGCATGTCGTCAGAGGCAATTGGGAAGGAGCTACGTTAAGTCAGTGGTTATCGTGGGGTATCTGACAGGGTAATGCTTCGAATCATACCACTTAAATTAGCTATTGTGGAGTATTAAGACTATATTACAACGGGATAGTCACTGAATAACTTACTTTTGTTGATATGCCTTAAACACCCCAAAAGGACCCAAAATCTTCATTGTGAAATATATCGTATTTTTATTATGAATGTCTGTATTTCTATAGAAATTTGTATTGGAAAATTTTAATATCGTCTTTTCTGTTTTTTTGTGGAACTATTCATCTTTCGTTTACTAAGGTCATGTATATTGCTGATTGCACACAAATGAGCCACGATAAGCATTTTTGATAGCTCTTTTCTCGTGATGCTATATAACCTGTTTTAAAAGGGCTCCATGATAGATCAGCCGATTGAAGAGGACAATCAAGTTGAAGTTTGAATCTCGAAGGTAGTGTCAAAGTTGATATTAAAAACATTGGAAGTGAGTATACCTTAATTTTATAATTTCTCGTCGTTAAAACCATGAATTTAAGGATCAAATCATGAGTAATCATATGTGGAAACAACTTGACCCATTCTCCAATCCAACAACGTACTAAAATTTATTTTTCCGTGTGCGATATAAATTCATAATAGTTATGGGGCTTTTATGAAAACATTAACAGCGTTGCTAAATTCTTTGTGGACAAAACCATAGAAGCTGGTTCCCCCAAATAAATTAATTTACATATGCTTGATCTATATTAATATACATTGGCAACGTTCGATTCGGTCGTATCAAAATTTCAGATAATCAAGACTGCTCAGTAGTTTTAAAAGATTTTCAGAATCAGAGGTGAAGCAATGTTTTTAAAAGAAATGTTCATAACGGGAACGATGTGTGTGTGTGTTTCTGTTTGTGTTTGTGTATGTATGTTTGTGTGTGCGTTTGTGTGTGTGTGTGTGTGTGTGTGTGTGTGTGTGTGTGTGTGAGAGAGAGAGAGAGAGAGAGAGAGAGAGAGAGAGAGAGAGAGAGAGAGAGAGAGAGAGAGAGAGAGAGAGAGAGAGAGAGAGAGAGAGAGAGAGAGAGAGTACTATATGTTTTCTAAATTAAAGCGTGGATCAAAACATAATTCTTAAAGTAGGAGAAAGCCTACAGAGCAGCAAATTAGAAAATTCCTACACATGATTTCTAAGTGCTTTTGAGGTAATGGAAATGGTATATTATGCGTCAAGTATGACATTTGAATAAACATTTTTTACTGGCTTAGACTTCCGGATTTTCAGACAGTTTCTGTCAGACACTTTTGCTTGGCTTGCAATATAGGCCGGTCATCGATGCTAACGAGACATTCCATTGTCAATGCTTTCTCAGTGTGCATCCAACTTCTTGAAGATGCGTTTAGCCTGACCACCAGTCGAGGAGCAGACAAGAGCTTGTATAAGTGGGGATTAAACTGACTTCAATAGCTTCGGGTGATTTGGACTGTTTATGCAACTGTTATATGGGATTCTGATTTCCAGCTTGTAATTTATATTATGAAAACCATCTTGGTTCTAAAAGTCAGTAGTCAAGCGTATAGGTATGCAACTGACAAAAGAAAATATTCTCACATGATTTCTGTAGTCTGGTATCACTGAACATAAACAAGGCAGCAACTTTCAAAGGACAGGTATCAAAGTTCTGGCACCGTGTAAAATTTACCGATTGAGACTTTGTATTGACATTT